GGGATGCAACGTAGAGAAGTAAATATTAGGAAGGGAGTCAGACAGGGATGCACACTGTCACTGCTACTTTTTAATCTATACATCGAAGACGCCATCAACATCATTAAAGACAGTACAACTGTAGGGATAGATATACAGGGGCAAAAGATTAGTATGCTTAGATTTACAGGTGATACAGCAGTATTAGTATTTAGCAAGGAGTATCTAGAGATAGCTTTAAATAAAATGGAAGCGGTGCTGACAGATCAGTACTGCATGAAAATAAATAAAAGTAAAACTAAAATACTGGTATGCAAGGGAAGAATAATTAGGGAAAGAGCGAATATAAAGATAGGAGACGAAAAATTAGAAGTGGCTGATTTTAGGTCTCTAGGAAGTCTGATAAGTCAGGACGGAAGGATAAGTAGGGATATAAAGCAGAGGATAGCGCAGGGTCGTGTCGCCTTTAATACAAAGAAGTCACTTTTATGCTCGCGAACGGTTAACTTGGAGCGCGAAACATGGGCAGTGGGCGCGGTGGAAAATAAAAGGTTAGAAGCGTTCGAAATGTCTTGTTATAGGCGAATGATGACGATAACGTGGGTAGAAAAGGTTAGAAATGAAGAGGTATTAGAAAGAATAGGAGAACAGAGGACTTTATGGAAGTCAATAAAAAATAAGCGAGATATGTAGGACACCTTCTCAGGCATGAAGGTCTAGTCAGAGACATATTAGAGGCAGAAACAGGAGTTAGGAGAGGTAGAGGTAGACCTAGGTTAGATTACTGTTCGCAAATAGTTAAGGATGTGTGTTGTTCTAGTTTTAGGGAAATGCGAAGTTTAGCTCAAGATAGGAAGGAGTAGACGTACGTGTCCAACCAGGCTTAGGACTGACGACCTTATGATGATGATGATGATGATGAATGTATTGTGTCAAATTAGAAAAACATGCTCTATTTTCTAATAAACAATTTTTTTTTTCGTTCATAACTAATTAGCTTCAATATAAAAGTATTATCCAATTTTTCGAGGGATTTATATTGACGTTAAATATCCTGACATTCCAAGAGCTTTATCAAATAATTGTTTTGATGGATGTATTTCCCGTGTGATCCATTGCAATATCTTGAAATCTGATTTTGCAATAACTCCTCCTCATGAATAATAATCCGTTTACTCGTGTTGTAAAGCATTAGTAACAAAAACAACATCAGCAGTAATGACAACAACAAAGCTGTGGATTATTTTTCTTGCCAGTAACATATGTATACATTTGTATATGCATGTAATTTAATAAAGCATACCGAGCAATTTTATTTATATAATTTAAAACATGTACGTTTAACTTACGTTTGTCAGTAAGTGACGTGTTTTGTCGCAATTGTAAATGCAACCCAATGCGGTATATTAAATTATATCCTTTTGAATAACAATAGGTGGCATGTAGCGCAACTTGGCACGTATAATAGAAGGGAGTTAGGGAATGTTTGCACCAGCGATACTATACAATTAAATTTTACGTGTAAATATCGCTGGCCAAATCTGGCTAAACTAGTTTTGTCTGTCAAATGGGGATGAACTAGTGTGGATTAGTCCTAAAGGATTTGTCGTTATCAGCTTCACCCAATTTTTAGTTTTGCCTATGCCAAACTAGTTTATCCGGAGGACGATAGGATGATTCAGTTTGGATTAGTGCAAATATGTTTGTCTTTTATCTGATACAAGCTAACCCGATTTTACTCTAAGTTATGTAGTTTTGTTTAGGTCAAACCAGGATGAACTAGTTTGCATTAGCCCTAAAAGATATGTCGTAAATATTTTATCGGCTTAACCCAATTCTCAGTTTTGCCTAAGCCAAACTAGTTTATTCGAAGGACGATAGGATGATTTAGTTTGGATTAGTTCGAAAGGGTTTATTCTGTACCTGTTCCCGGCCAAACCCGATGTCATGCTAAACTATACATATAGTTTTGTTTAGGCCAAACCAGGATGAACTATGTAGTTTGCATTAGTCCTAAAGGATTTGTCGTGAATATGTTATCGGCCTAACCCAATTTTTTAGTTTAGCCTTAGCTAAACTAGTTTATTCGAAGGACGATAGGATGATTTAGTTTGGATTAGTCCAAAAAGGTTTATCCTGAATATATTACCGGTCAAACCAAGGTTATGGTAGGAAAAGACAAAACGAAGGAAGTCCTTCGAGTCTTTCAGATTTACTTTTTTTCTCAAAAATACATGTTTCTTCTGTATATCGTTTATGCTTATGGTACATGTAGTAGGTAGACTGCGTACTGAAGTAACGCCAACTAACGTAGATTATCTTTCTATGACAAGTATGAAACCACCAATGTGTGACACCACATTTTTGCGTCTGGTTGATTTAAATTTTCGTAAGTATGTATTGCATTAAAAACATATGTATAATATAAATAAATATTTTTTGCGAATCCATGATAAATATGAATGTTATTTGAAGCGTAGCAGGTTTATCAGTACGTTATTCATACATTTCTGTGAATATTCATGATCGTTACTCATACGGATATTTGTGGAAAGTATTATAACGTTACTGTTATCGTTTATTTTTGTAAAAGTTTCTTCTGTTTATCTACCTGTTGTATAGCAATGTTTGAAAATAAATTGTATTTGCGTTCAATTACATAATTGAATTAAAACCAATCATTTTTTGCCCAGTTATCCAGACTTATGAAAACAGCTTATATTCGTGCAATGGTTACCGCTTGTGCATTTTTTATTTAATATTTGAGTTAAAATATAACAAATAATCTTGAACGAATTGCATCAACCGTTAGTAACCTATATTTGTTTGTTGTCTGCCTTCTGGTCTTAACGATTAAATTAACAGCCATATTATTGCACATAGAAAAGAAAATCATTTATTTATTTTGGTACGAACGTTTCCATCAATCCTCCTCTTTCGTCTTTCTTTTTATTACCTTTTTTTTGTAATGCTTGATTAGGGTTGTCAAACTTAAGCCGGAGATATTATTCTCCTAACATTTTTGCATTTATGCAGACTTATCTCGTCAGTGACGTGCTACTATTATGTCCTTGTTTTAGTTCCTCATGTATGCAGTAGCGGATTTAAATTCAACTGCATCACTAGCAATTACTTTAATAAAACATGTAATTATGATAAAAGAATTTATTAATACTCATTGCAAAAACAACTCATACTTATTAACATGATACCAAAAAAAAAAATAATTTTTGTAAACGTATGACGAACGTATGGCGGCGAATCGATAGTGCGGTATCTTTTGACATGTAACGCATAATGGTTGCAGCAAAAGAAAACTTCGGAAAGTTTCCGGAATTAATGAAATACACAGTCTAGGCTTTAACATCCGCCAAGAGAAAATATTTTAAATGACAGGTGTTTTGAATGTACGAAAACTAGAAGTTAAAACGTTGATATGTCTATAATTTTGGTGTTTCTAATACAATTTTCTCGCCCCTGAAATTTTGTTGTCGTAAAGCTTGGGTCTAAGCGTAAATCCGTTACTGCATATGTTATATTAACTGATACGAACTATAAATCATATTTTTTTAATTTTTAATGAAAAATTGATATTTTATTATCAGTTATAGCAAATAAATTAAATTAAAATGATGAAAATGAAACGATGTAAAGTAAAAATTTGACTCATTTATTCATATTTTTTAATGAATAAAATGTAGGTTTATTTTGTCTTAAATGGAGTAACAAATTGTTCCGGATGTGTGTATTTCTATTTCAGGTACTGATATTAAAGTTAAATAAAGAGGCACCATATCGTAAAGACGTATTCAGGGCGCCGGGTCACCAGGGAGCAATGAAGAAGCTAATACACTTCCTACAAACCGGCAGACTGATTAATATGGATAATTTTAGTGTTTATACGATTGCTAGTGTTCTAAAGAAATTTCTACGTAAAATTCCAGGGGGCATTTTCGGAAAAGATGTCGAGCAACAGTTCTTCCAAGTTATCGACGTGACCGATTTGCAAGCTCAAAGGGATGAAATACACAGGTAAATTACTTTTTGTATACATATCAAATGGATTTCTTTAGAAGTAAGTAAGACATTAAAATGAAAAAAAAAACATCCAGGAAGTGACTAAAGTTGATCACCTCTTATGCCACCTTCCATTAACCGTTCTGTGTAAGTGAAAACGATTTGTAATTTTTTAGTAGCTCCTTTTGATGTGGACTTTTTAAGGACTTTAAGGATTCTTGGCAAGCGTCACTGATGGTTGATTGCTAATATTTTGAATTTTTAATTTGAAAGTTTAAATTAAAAACTGGACCTGCCTAAAACAATTGATTATATGTGGCTGCCACCAATTTCTTATGATAGCTTCTAGGGACGACCATATTTGGCGACTGCCAGTGGTGTAACTGTTTCTAGTATTTAGGTTAGGTTAGGTTTGTAGCCTTACCTTAAGTAGCCGAATATGTGAGAGTTGTAAAAGTGCAGGGAAGTTTTAATTAAAATCATCGGTGAAACAGCGGTGCTCGCAGATTCAGCCACATGTACTCGCTGCTACAAGCGGCCACTAGTGGTTTATATTGACCACTAACGCCACTAGAAGCTTTTGTATGATGTTGGTGGTAGCCACATTTAAGAAGTTATTTAGAATAAGTAGTGAGAATGGTTTGCTACTGCTTGTGGTTACTTATAGTGGCAAGTGCTTCTGAATTCCTTGTATATTCAACTAAAATCGACCAATTATCCCCTCATTTTGCCTATTTGAACTTAATCTTACTTGAAATTTCTCTGTTGTTTTTTTTAAGTTTTAGTAAAAAAATGTTTTTTTCCACCTACAGAATAATAGCGTCACTGCCTGTATACACCCAGAGACTGTTAGTATTACTTTTCGGTACGTTTAGGGTGATAGCGTCGAACAGCGAGAGGGCGAGTACTGGCATGACCAGCGAGGCGTTGGGTGTGAGCGTCGCTCCAAGTTTTTTCCATTCTTGCGTTAGTGACGGAAAAACTGCCAAAATGGAGGACGTATTGAGATTCAAGGTAAGATTTGATTTATAATAATTATAAATATTATTGGTTTATTGAATACAAAATCGATTATTTGGATATTTTTAAGGATGCGTTTTGACAGAAATAAATTAAGTAGTTNCGAAGATATAAATATGTATCAAAAGTGATTGCAAAAGTAATGTAGCAATGTAGGAAATACCTGCAAATGTAGGTTTATTACTTTCCTACTAATAACTACTTATTAAGTAGGATTAATTACTGTTTCTAAAATAATTTCAGAAGTGCTCACATAAAATTTTAATTAAGTGCTGTTTTGAAATACTTCTGCAGTATGATGTAACTTCAATAAAAAGAAGTCACTTCTGTGCTCGCGAACGATTAATTTAGAAATTTGAAAAAGACTATCTTTATTATTAAAGATATATGTTTGGAGCGCGGTACTGTACGGGTGCGAAACATGGACGGTGGGCGCGGCGGAAAAGAAAAGGTTAGAAATGTTCCAAATGTGGTGTTACAGGCAAATGATGAGGATGCCGTGGGTAGAGAAGGTTATAAATGAAGAGGTATTAGAAAGAATAGGAGAACAGCTTCTCAGGCATGAAGGTCTAGTCAGAGAAATATTAGAGGCAGAAACGGGAGTTAGGAGGGGTAGAGGTAGGCCTAGATTAGATTACTGTTCGCAAATAGTTAAAGGTATGGGTTGTTCTAGTTATAGGGAAATGCGAAGATTAGTTCAGGATATATAAGAGTGGACGTGCGTGTCCAACCAGTCTTAGGACTGACGACCTTGTGATGATGATGATATACGTTAAATGTTTCTTCTTATAACCATTTAATAATAAAAGGTTGCACAGAGAAAATGAAAACGGAAAATTTACCTAAAAAATAAAGTGATATTTACAATTTATCCCATTAGCCCGTTGGTAATAATTTTAGTAATAAAGTAAATAATAAAAATTACAATTTGGAGCCGAATTTTTAAAAATGAAATCCCAGCAGAAATAAATTTACTAGGTATTTTAGTTGATATTACAAATTAAATTGTAATAATTAAGAAACTTGAAATAATTTTTAAAAAAGCATGTCAAAATTGAGATTATTACAAGTTACCTAATAAATTCTACTATTTCTAC